CATAAGCATGTAGATCAAGGCGTCTACCCTTTAGATTGGGCCTAGAATATTGATGAGTCGAACTGTTATGGGGAATAACGCGAATGATGCGGTTCGTGCCTCACCGCATCCGGGCTGGATCGTTTGGCGGGTTTCGGTACTTTGCGGTCGTTGGTATCACAGGTGATAGAGACGCGATACCGTAGGGCGTATTAGCGAAGCGTAATACGCCGAATGAAACCAGAGATTAACGGAAGAATCGTCATGCCAAATTACATTAGAAATCGAATAGAAGGCGGTTGCTATTTTTTTACCGTCAACTTGCTCGAACGTCACGGTAACCAATTGCTCACCGAGCAGATTAATTTACTTCGAAAAGCGGTGAAACAGATAAAAAGCCAGAACCCATTTCACATCGATGGATGGGTTGTTTTGCCCGAACACATGCACTTTATTATAACTTTGCCTCCAGGCGACGATGACTACTCAACTCAACTCAACTCAACTCAACTCAACTCAACTCTGCAACTAACTAAAATCCAAATATTAAAACCACTGTTCAAAAAACTTTACAAAGACAGGACGGCCGTTCGACAGTACGGCAAACGTGGAGAAAGAGGCAGTTTGGCAAAGACGCTTTTGGAGGCATAGCATTCGGATGAGCGGATTATCGCTCATGCATGGACTATCTTCCATTATAATCCAGTCAAACATGACCTAGTAGAACAGATTAAAGACTGGCCGATTCTACTTTCACCCATTTGTATAGATTTGCAGATTCATCTGGATAGGGGGTGGGGATCTGCGGGACTTGAGGTCGGCGAAGGCCGTTTGAAACAATGCTGGCCGTAATTACCTGCCTAATACGCCTACGGCCCTAAGCAATGACATTACTGTGTAATGGGCATACAATTCTGACCCACTTTGGTCATCATTAAAGTCTTACATTAACCATTTTTCATTGCTTACCAGAGGCCAATTTTGCATGGTCAATTGACATTTTCTGAACGGCAAATGCTGGGCACATACCGCTATTCAAAAATTTACTAAAACGACTCGCGAACGGCCACTTTGCGGTCATTCTCATCAATGGGATATCACAGTAATTTAGGATGGTTTGGGTGTCAAGTCTATACCCTATTCGATACCTATTACGTTTTTTAGGTGAGGCCTATTTGTTCGGTTGGCATGCCTACGACCAGCTTTCTTGCGTCGCTCTTCATCTACCCACTTGTTGCATGCGGGCAGGGCCATTAGGGCGCTGCTCCAGTGCTCGAAGGCGGCGGAGATGTTCAGACCGACCCTTTGGCGCGCCAGGCGACGGGAGCGAACATGGCGTCGACGATGCTGAAGGGGCCGCAGAGGAATCCGCCGTCGGGTCTCTTGGCGTTCTCGAAGTGCTGCCAGAGTACCGCGAGTCGATCGAGGTCGGCCTGCACCGCTGGGGTGGGTGTCATGGGGAAGACTCGGTGACAGTTCATCGGATGCTCGCCGCGTAGAGCCATAAACCCACTGTGCATTTCGGCGCAGGCAGATCGCGCCAATGCGCGCAGTTTGGCGTCTTCCGGCCACAGTTTCTTCTCTGGGTAGGCTTCGGCCAGAAACTCCAGGATCGCCAAACTGTCCCATATCATCTGTCCGTCGTTTTCTAGCACCGGCACCGTTGCGGGGATGGCGTGCTCCGCCGCCAGCTTATCGAGGCTGTCGTC